AAACCTAACAGCCAGGAGGGAAGCCACTGTACGTGTGTGTGTGTGTGCGAGCGAGTGTGTACAGTAGTGGCCGGGCCGGGTTAAAATTATTTGCTGCAGCGTTTCAGGCCACTCTCTCGTTCACTCACGCACACACACTGGGCCTCTCCTGTCACTGGGGACGGGGACGGGGACGGGGGGGGCGGGGGGGCTTATTGCATGGGAGCCGTGTTCGGTCACGTGGAGACAAAAACACACAAATATAAAAAAAAAAAAATCAATGTGAACTTGCCTCATCGGTGTCGTCCGCGAGTCCGCGTCACAGCTCGCGGCGACGGCGTGTGTGGAAGCGAAAGGAAGAAGGGTGGTCGGTGGCGGGGACGAGACAGTTGTCCTTTTACCAACAACACTTCTGCTGCGCTTGGCAGCGGAAGCCCTCTCAGTCCCCCCTCCTTCCCCAACCCTCCCGTGCAAATCTTTCAACGCTCTCCCTTTCCCCTCCTCGCCTCCCCCCCTCCCCCTGCTCCTCTCTCACGCATAAGCTCGTTAGGTCCCCTCAAGCTAGTTTGTCCACCGACCCCCCCTCCCCCACCCCCCATCCTCCTCCTCCTCTCTCACACACACCCTCACTTGTCTATCTGACTGCTGCTTGGAGCTGGATGCCGCCCGTGCTCATTCCAGTGCGTTCTGTTCCTTCAATCCCTTATTTTATGAAGCGGTCTTTCTCTCGTTGTTTCACTGTGTCTGTCTACCTTCCTGCGTTTCTTTTGAATGGAACGATCCATTGAAGAAGGCCACACAGATCTGGCAACACAGACCGGGCTTCTGAATTCAAACCATGTTTTCTCCTTAGGCATGAAATTATGCACATCCGACTCGACTTCTCTCCCACCTTTTCTCTGCTTAACGCCACTCTTTCATTGCCTTACTGCAGCAACAAACAATCAAGAGCCTCTAAGAGCAGTTGGTATTTGTGGCACTTTTGGGCCGTTAGCGATCAACCATCTTTTTTTACTGAGAAATGAACACCGGGGGTTTGGTCTGTAAGTCGGTATGTTGGATTGACAGGGGCCATCTCTGATGTTGTGTGCTCCATACTGGATGTGGAGGATGGGGAATGTCTTGTGTGGTTTTGTACAACCAACTTGTGACCAATCTTGTGAAAAGATACTCCCCATCATCTCATCGAAGGTATAATGAGCCTCAATGTTACACAAAGTCAGAAAGCTCCGGCAACGAGAACAGGTTGCGTGTCTCCCTGGAAAAGTACTTGCGTCAATGCGAGAATGTGGGCCTTCCCTCAAATAGACATCGCCCCCCCCCCCCCCCCCCCATCCTCTCTCATTCACACACTGTATATGATGATGAGATAATGAACATGTTATGCAACGTGGCCTTATTCAAGGTCTGACCTCCAAATTGAAATGTATTCATCTGTTTCACTCTGCTACGGCATTATACTTTGACATGTTTCCATTTGTAGTGAAACTTTCTTAACACACCTTTTATGGCTTTGGATGAAACAAGTGACTAAAAGTTAACATTTCTGTTTTATTTTGCTGTGACTGTAAAATAGCTTTTTTTTTAGACATTCTATTTATGGTTATTTTTGTCTTGTACACATAGAGCGCCTTTTAATTGTAAGTGACCCAAAAAACACTATCAGAGGCTTCCCCCCCCCCCCCCCCCTCACAAAATCCCCATTCCACCGAGACCCCGAGGCCCTAAAGCTCGAAAAGCAGGGCCTCTGTCTGGAGTTTGCCCCGAAAGATCACAGTGGAGTAAAACAGGTCAAATTAAGACTCAACTCTGTCTGGTATTGATGTTATCGAAACATCTTGTTACGTTTATATAACACTGTTTAAGTACAGTACAACACCAAAACAAAGAAATCCCTCTCAACTGAAAAACAGAAGTACAGCAACATAGGCGACGCTGTATTCCAGCTACCGGTCGGGCAGAGTGCCTCTCCTGCCTCTGGCTCGGCACGCTGCGCCAGCCCGCTTCATAAATACTGCACAAAAAAAAGAGCCCGCTTCTCTCAGGTACAACTGCACTCTGGAGAGCGTCATAATCTACAGCACAGATAAACTGTACCTACAAACTGGGTGTGTTTGTGTGGCAAAGAGACTTTGGGAAAGAAGGAAATGACAGGTTTAAGGAGAAAGAGAGCGAGTAAGTGATCTGATTTGTTAAATGTCTGTCTTGTAACAACGGTACAATCATTTCAGTCTGACAACGTGTGCCGTCGTAGGAGGAGGAATCGCAACATGTGATATATGCTCCTTAAATGATAAATCATTATGACTGTATTTCTTGATTTCTTACACTCTGGGTTTCGCCCTCATAGGGTGGTTTGTTGTGCAAACTGGGGTTGTGTTGAAAATCCTTTGTTCACTAATCAATAGTAATAAACCCTCCAAAGCTTACTCCATAGTGAGGAAATGTTTGACATGAACAAATATAGATTTTCCGAAAATGTTGTAATAATAGTAAAGGCAAGAAGTGCAATATGGCGTATTCTTAAACATGCAAACTTTTCAGGACAATGGGGCCTTTTCATTAGACTGAAGTGGTCATTCACACACTGTATGAACACCCAGTCGTGTTTTGAGAACTGACAAAAGGTTTCAGGGGGATTTTCCATTAACAAACAGCAGCAGAATGACAAATGTTGGCAACTGAATGGTGAAGAAAGTTTAACATCTAGCAAGGTAAAATACCATAACAAAGCTAAAAAGCCCAAGATCTGTCAATGTGCCAGAAATTAGAATCTTACACCTTTCTGGAATATTGGCAGATCTTTTTAGGTAATTCTATATTATATAAACTGTAAAAAATGAATTAATTGTTTGGAAAATGCCACAATTTTGGTCATCTTTGAAAAGGGTGCTATCCCGTGTGCGCGTTCCCCTCTCTTTGTGCACCACATCAATCTCCATGTTCCTCTCACTGGTCCAACAGATTACACAGTGCGGCAACGGGAGCACACGCACTCAGCATCTGGTCGACATTGAGGTATTTTAAGTTTTAAAGTTCAATTTGTCATCAGTCTTGTTGCAGACCTGATAGGACCGAGCAGGTAATGGAGCTGTTGTAACAGTGCAGATTGTCCACTAAGTCAGAGTTCCCTGGATACCAATTAGCAATGAACAACCAGGCATCCAAAGTCGGACAGCTAATGTGGGATCATCGCTAGTCGAATGAGGGAGAGAAATCTGTGAGATGGGACCACATGTGTGCTTGTGGTCCCAACAGTGAATAATGAAAGGCGAATGCATGTGAGCAGCCACAGGATCACCTAAAAAGACCAAACATACAGACTAGGACACGCTATCATAAAAAGCACAATTCTAATTTTGTTATTTTTCATAAAAATCCAAATCTATGACCGTTGCCAGACGGCACCGTGAAAATACATTGACACTCAGCCACACTTCATTTCCTTCTTTAGTCTCAAAATCATCAAATGAGATGAGGGTAACAGGGAAAAGACCACTGTCGTCAGTCTACAGCTCCATGGGTGAGTATGAGAAATGTATCACATGCACATGCATGTGTATGGATTACCATCTCTAGTTGTGAGCTCCTTGTTCATTCCCAATGGAAGTATTGGTGTTTAGCTCATGTTTGTCACCAGAGGGCAAGTGCACATTCTGGGGCGAAGATAGCAGGACAGTAACCTTCGGTGCAGGAGGAATCCATGGGTGTGAAAGGATGATTGGCGCAAACATCGCTAGAAGGAACAAAGGTCAACTCCCGGCCATGAATAAGATTATATCCGAAAAAGGATTTGATATGTTTTCCGTTCAATCCAAATGTGAGATGCTTATAGATGCTGCGCTCACAAGTCAGGCCCAAATGCTAATTAATGTTGGATGCCTACTTTTTTGTTTAAGTAATACATTTACTGCTTTAAGTTTCCCTCCATGCATTTGTGTCATCAAATTGATTATCATGACAGATTTCTGGTAACATATCCTGCTGTTCTGATGCACGTTCAACCCTGCAGGACATGCCGAAAATCTGAACATTCAACTTTCTGTCAAGTGGTATCCTGAATCCAAGGTTGGTAGGGGCACAGATTAGGCTCAACATTTTAGTCAATCAACACAATCAGGAGTGACTCACAATCACACAGGCTAGATGCATGCTGATTCACTTACAGGAACATTACAAAAACATCTTAGCGAAAGATAAACCAACACACGTATGTTCCCGAAGGTGAAATAAGTGCTATTTTGGGATGTGAGCAGAGTGTGCTTCAAGCTGCAAGTAAGCACATTGAACAAGTATTCGGGGCAGAGCACATCCGGCTCATTCATGGCTTTTTGGTCACATCAAGCTGAATTTTTGTAATGGGTCCCAAAGTAAACATGTGAACTCATCACTGCGTTCTCTGCTGTTACCTCCAGAAGCAACAACCGGGATTCTTAGGTTTCACATTAATGAATACATCAGGGTAGCAGTGTACTGTTCATGTTCTTATGGGGACGAACTTGAATCAATTGGCAATGTCCCATCGCGGCCAGCACCCAGAATGAAACCGAACAAAATATGCACATGTGACCTCATACCTATGTGCTCGCGCGCAAACACGAACACGCACGCACGCGCACGCATTCATTTGCTCTCGCGGGCGCACGGTGACTTGGCCAGCTGTGTGCATGTATGTTCCATGCATTTGATTCTCAACAGCACAACGACGACCGAATTAACAGCAGTGTTAGAGGAGAACCGCTGTGCGACCACCAGAAATACTAGAACGGGTCTGTGAGCGTGTGTATGAAGCACACACATGTTTAGTAGCATGATAAAGTGTGTTATTATAACAATATGTGTTACCCCGGTTGGGCCGTTTGTCGCGAAGGAAACGCGCGTAAAGGTGTCACACATCGCCGTCCCCGAAAGAGAGCCGAAAACGTTGCGGGTTTACAGTGGCCGAGAAGGACAATAAGAAGGGGGGGAAAAAGGAACCCGTCATGCTTTGCCTCAGACGTCCGGAGCGGGACGCGTCTTACCTGGTCCCGCGGAATGCAAGGCAGCGAAGTCCTGCGGTGGGACTTGCTGTTGCTCTGACTGTGAGCCATCATCTCCGAGGCCGATATGGAGCTGGACCTCCGTCTCCTTTTGAAGACAGGGATGTCCTCCTCCTTCGCCCCGGTCACAGAGCCACAGCACCCCGTCCCGCTGGTCCCTGGGGCCGGCCGCAGCCGGTCAGCATACCTCGCAAGCAAAACCCCCAGCAGTCCCAGCAGGTAGGCCAGGTAGGGTCTCCAGCTGGCCCGCAAGCTGCCCAGAGAGACGACCGACGCTGCCCTGATGACGCTGACGAAGACGACGATGGACACTCCCTGACGCAGCCGGACAACCAGCAAAGCCCCGCTGCCCAGGCAGCCGAGGACTACCAGGGTCGCGGGGTGGGACAGCAGCTGCTCCTCCTCGGCGCCGCGCAGGAGGAACTGCGCCGCGGCTTCGCCCAGGAGGCACACGGCTAACAGGAAAACCGCGGTGCGGATGAGCACCCCGCAGCGAAGGAGGTACAGCCCGCCCCAGAAGAAGGCACATGCGAGTGCGCAAACGGGGTGCACGCAGTAGCACGCAGTCACCAGCAGCTCCGCAGCGCAGCCCGCGTTCGAATGAAGACGAGAGCCGGAGCCGCTGCTATTTCCGTCGCTGCCCGCATCCCAGTCGACCAATGCGAGCAGCAGAGCGAGGATAACAGAGACGGAGGCAGCGCAGAGCGCAGGCGACGCTCCTCGACGCGTCCAAGTTGCGGCGAGTGTGTGCCACGGCGAGTGGGCCCCCGCGTCCCGGTGCGGCGGGGTGACACATGTCTCCGCGTGGCCGTTGCGCTCCAGAGCCGCCCGGGGTCGTTTTTCGTGGGCACTTCTTGATGAACCTCTGTCGCCGTCCGCCTCCAAGGCCATCGCGGTCAGTCGGGCGGAAACGTTGCGCGGGCCGGCCGGGGAGACGAGAGAAGTAGTCCCCGTGTCTGCGCCTCATTCCGTGATTCCCAACGGGACGGGATGTGCGCCGCCGGCAGCAGAACAGCGGTCAGCAAGGATCGGCTGCTAAAAACAATAAAGTTCAATAAACTTAATGATTGGATTCTCTCTTTTGAGTTGTGTGGTTCAGAACTTGCCCGTTATATTTGGTCTGCTGTTGTTTTGCAGACCCCTGACTTTTTCACACACCGAGGCCTCTGCTTAGACTCCTTCTCACAGTCTGTCTTTCGTCTTTCCCTCCCACTGGTCACTATAGCCCTGAGTGTGTGTGTGTGTGTGTGTGTGTGTGTGTGTGTGTGTGTGTGTGTGTGTGTGTGTGTGTGTGTGTGTGTGTATGTGTGTGTGTGTGTGTGTGTGTGTGTGTGTGTGATGCCTGAGGCACGTGTCAGCTCTTCCGCTTGTTTTTGTTCATTCTGCAGGCCGATGTGACTCGGTTCGCAGAGGACGGTTGTCATGTTTACATGTCGATTTCCAGGATAGAAAGCAGCCCACGATGTGCATTGACTATAATAATCATTTAATACATTCTGGAGGATCACCACTGAGACTTACACAGAATATACCACTTAGCAACCAGGTTCAGGTAATATTTAAAATGTATATCTGTATCAATTCAGGAAGCTACTGATTTTCCTCCAAAAATGTACTCTAAAAAAAACCCAAACTAAGGTTAGATCCACAATCCTACAAAGAAGAGAATTTGGCTGTAGTAGTAATCATCTTGTTACGCATGATATATGTATCTTTTTCCTGGATTAGAATGCTAAATCCCTTCATCCTCTTCCCCCTGTGGCAGAATGGCCAAGGATAAAATAGAAGCCTCCACCTGTTTGCCCTACATTTGATGTGAGGATTTAAAATGATGCACTGCAGTCGCATAAGTCTGTCATCTCTTCACGTACTATTATTAATACAACTAAATCAAATCCTCAAATGGTAAAGAATGCTGCAGCTAGAATTTTGAGCATTTTCTAAAACTAGAAAATTTGGCAATTTAAGACCATCACTAATTTTAACATGTTGATCTAGTCTGTAAAGACACCAAATTGCCTTCTTGTGCTAGAAGGGGAAGCCTTACTTTGCATACAGTTTTGTTCTTCCTTGTCTGACAGAAGTCGTTGTATTTGGTACCGACTGTAAATCGTCTATAAACACATTTGAGAAATTGTGTCGTATTAATACATCATGACACGTCATGACAAACTGCGATAGATCCGAATTGCTGTCGAATTAATCTGTCAAAACATCTGTGCAATACAGAAGGTACATTCATTTTGTCGCGGTGAAGCAGAGGAATAGTGTTTTAAACACAGCAGCGTTAAACAACATGGGTCAGTGGAGGGCAAAAGTTTGAGTTATCCCATCAGTACACAAAGCGGATATTCACCAGTTCAAACTGTTTACTCTCATTCCAGCTCTGTAAAAAAACAGGTTGGCATGTCAGAAAAGGTTCAGAGAGGCAAACGAAAGCCACGAAACCCCAAATGAGTTGGAACTTTTGTCTACGGTTTGGGAACCCGTACGAATAAAGAAGAGGCCTCTAGCAGTGTTTAGGCCATCAGCACGAACACACCGTTGATACAAACATCCATCGACCTTTGCCTTCAGAGATGTTTTCCAGACGCGTTTCTCCAGCTGCACAAAGGAAGTGTTGCAACAATGTCATTTGTCATTGTGAGGTGCTTGAAGACGACTGGACGTGAGTGTGTGTTGGATGTGGTTTGCTTACACAACCACACTTGGACATTCGGATGTAGACAATGTGCTGCACCGTCGTCATCAACGTATGCGTTCCTGCCCTGCTGACACACACACACACACACACACACACACACACAGTAACCACAATCCGTCTTTCTCGTTAGGCCTTCTCACCTGTCTGTTTTCTTCAGCACAGTAAACACCTCCTCCATCTGCTATAGGTTCACTTTTTCTCTGCTGGTTTTGTTCTCAATCTAACTCAACCACTCTCAGCCCCTTTTTCCCACCGGGCTCCTCAAAGACGGTCTGCGATCACATCAGAGAAGAACAGACGGAGGTCAGTAAGCGTGCCGTGGCGTCAGTGACATCTCCCGTTGGTGGTCATTTCGTAGCTTAGTGAAAGTAGAGTGGGTTTCTGTAACCACTGCAGCAGTCCCATTAAAGCTCGTGGAATTCTCCGTCACGTCTCAGCTTGACCCCGTGACGCTTTCCGTCGAGGTCAAGCACAAGCGGTTGGGAATAGACGTCAGGAGGTCATGTTTGGACTTTTCATCCGCAGCCTGTGAGCTTTTGCAGCAGTGAGATGACTGTTCTCCTTCATTTTTCCCCTTCTGCCTCTCCGTGTTCTGGCAAACATCAGAAATGTTATGCCGCTCTGACACTATGCTCCTCTGAAGGGGAAACTCTGTACACACGGTCCTCTACAGTTTTGGGTGCAGTGGCAAACTCCGGGGACTGAAGAAAGCCGGTATGACAAGGACACAGAACTCCCTGCTCTATAAACAAAACATCAAATTAGTGATTCCCCGCAGAGTTCGATCATACAAGGAGCCACTCTTGCACAAGGCTTGTAATACCTTGGAGGGTAAAACATATGCTGTCTGGTTGGAATGTTTTTTTTTATTTATGCATGTGGAGTCTGAAAAATAAAGATCTGTAAGTCCTACGTTTACATTTTAAAGGAATCTTTTCAGGTTACTTGCTGCAGAGAGGTTTTAGTGCACATTCAAATATGCTGTAGAATAAGTTGCATTAGTGAAACATACTGTGTGTTTATGAAGATAACTCTCATCAGGTGAAGGCAGAAGGGCAGTTCACGTGCATGCAAGTTCTTTTTCTTGGTTCATCGTTAACTTAGGATGATCTATTTTTTAGAATGTATCAAAATTGATATAATGGCAATATAATTAGCAAATATTGTAAAACTGCCCAGTGGGATCATTCCAAAAGTATGCAATGTTAATATGCAACTAGTTACAATTTAATAAAAAAGCCAAAAAATATCAAAATGCAACCATGAAATGCCCCAATCCGCAACACACACATAATGTTCAGTCTAGCTCTGTCTCTTGTTAATTGTTACTTGATGGACTATGCATTTTTTATGAGTTAGCGCAGCAGAAAGTGTACCATATCCTGTTTGGTACTTTCCACCAGAAATACACTTCCAACATTGGTCTTTTTGCAGCAGAAACAACTTGGCACACAGCTGAAATACTCGCTGTCTAAAGGCCTGTATGTGCATGCATGACACAATATAACAAAAACAATAAAACAATAAGGAAATATGCATTTTGTGCTCGTGTGTTTTCTTCAAAGACCTATCCATGTTTCACAAGGTGGAGAAAGACCCCGGCGACCGGCTTAATCAGGGCTGCTGCTGCTTGATCTTATCAGACCGGACCTGGAGAACACAACCAAACCAGTCAGTGCCTGCTGGTCAAACAAAGTCTCTTTTTTTGGGCAGTACTGCGTCAGTAACATGAAAACATAAATTGTGTCTTCTAATACTTCAGAAATTTATGATAGGGGCCTTGATGTGTGTGTGTGTGTGTGTGTGTGTGTGTGTGTGTGTGTGTGTGTGTGTGTGTGTGTGTGTGTGTGTAGGTGTGTGTCCCTTCTACTCAAGCAGTCAAAGATCTGGGGACAGGAAAGAGCCAGCTTATGAAAATGTCGAAGGATTCCATACCAGACATTGAATGGTTTGTGTGTAAGTATGGTTTCAGGTTTGAGTACAACTATGCATGTATGATTATTATCCTTGTCATTATTATATCATTTATAACATATCCAAACATCATATTAGCCACGGCCATCTTTCTAATTGGTATTTAGTGAGCTAGCTTGCTTGGCAGGATTTCACCCGCTTGTGTGATATGAGATTTGGAATAGAATGGAATAATCATTGCATAATAAAGGTAAGGAAATAAATTCTAACAGTGTTTTACATTGGCCGTAAGCCCTTGTATTGTTTGTAGAACACATTTTTAAGAGGAGTCTAAAAAGGGGACCCCGTCCAAAACCTAAAGCTATTTTGGGGGCCCGGGCATTGAAACAGGGGACCCCTGATCGATGGAAATACTAGAGATATGATTGGAGTATTCATCCGCTCCTTTGCGTACAAACAGACGGAGAAAAGGAAAGACGTATGATCAGGAGTTGTACCTCTGCTTCAGCGCTGGTCTCAGTCCAATTTGTTTGCACACAGTCTCTCCATTCTTGTGTGTCACCCTCCCACTTCTGCCCCCTCTGACTGACCCTCTCTCAATGTGTGTTTGTCCGGCTATCAACACACCACTGGTATCCGCTGGGACGACACGGGGACACAGACGTGTACACAAAGCGCCACTAGTGATACCAATGTGCTTTACGAATCCCACTAAAAGAGAACAAATATATGGTCAAAGCTGGTGTGATAGAACAAGCGGTGAGAGACGAAGTCACGTAAGGTGTGGCAGCCGAGAGAAAAATACCAATGAATTATATAGAAAGGCCGGATGTGATGAATATTTAACAGCCTGTCGCCCTGTATTCACCATGAGTCCACTGAACAGTTTGTATGTATGTAGTATGAGGGTCTTAGAGTCTGGGCTTTCCATCCAAATATGTTCGTATTTTAAGGAAATTGAAGTCTTTGTTGAATCTGTTGGATTAATTACTCAAACAAGCAAAAACAAACTGGAGTTGCTAGAAACCCATGAAAAAAACATTTCAGGATGAACACAGAGCCAGCAGCCTCACGTGAATTCAAATAAAAAACTGTAAGCTGCACTAATTCTCCCATTACAGGAATAAACTAAAATTGAGAAAGAGGGAGGCAAGAAGAAAAGAGGCAGATGTGGGACCGTGTTTTCCACAGGCTGTGTGTCTGAGTGCTCGTGAGCTTTTATGTGAGCTCTTATCTGAACTGCTCCAAGGGCTCTTGTCTTCCTCCGGACAAGTATTCCGTCCCGTGTGAATTGATGATCGCTTTGGAACATTATGCCAATAGTCTACGATCTGTGTGCTGTTCACAATATTGTTTTGTTTGTTGTTTGTTCCGCTACACCATTCATCATGAGCAGCTGATTGAATAATTACTTACCTAATGATGTGGTTTCACAGTACTTACATCATCACATTTGAATAATTATAGAGCTCCTCCTTCCTTCCAACAATACTAGCAAGTAATGATGCCTAAAAAGGACAACAAAAAACACACAAAAGGAGGTCGGTTAGTGCTTACTGTATATTCATTGATCTGTCAGACCTATGCAAACCTTTAGATATTTTGTATTTAGTTATCTTTACTCACAAAGAATGGCTATTACATAAATAGTTTGTAATCTGGGGAA